AGAGTGACTAACTAACAATTAAAATGAAAAACTGACTGTGTTGGAAAATTAATTTGGATTAAAGAAACTAATGAAAAGATATAAAGACAGGAAAAGATCTTCACTAAGGTTTTTATCCAAGTACTACTCATCTTCTAAAGTAGTTCGATGGTACAAATCTCCACAAAAGCAAAGTGGGTGTATGAGTTTCAAATAAATAAATAAATAAATTAAAGATCTTCAAATAATTTTAAAAAAAAAAAAATTATGAGTTTTAAAGAAAGGGTAAATTACACAAACACTCCTTGAGATTAGGTCAAATTTCACATAAATAGACATTTTGATTTTAATTTTTAATTACATTTGAAAGAGTGAATCTGTATTTCACTTACACCCCAACTGTCACTTTTCAGTGATGCAAGTGTACTTTTTACATGCAAAATGACTATACTATCCTTTTAACTTCTTGTTGACTTAAATAAGAATGTTTAAATTTTTTATGACCAAAATACCCCCCGAGTTTTCAACAAACCAACAGAACCCATCACCACCACCCCCACATAGGAATGGCAAATTCCCCATCCTCGCCGGGTCCCCGCCCCGCCCCGTCCCGTTTATAGCGGGAATGGGGACCCTTTTATGTAAACGGGGATGGGGATGGGGGTAAATTTTGAAAACCCACCGAGGCCGGGGTCGGGGATGGGGTAAACCCGCCCCGCCCCGATTAAGTGTTAAATTACTAATATACCCTTACATTTAATAATTTATTGCTAAATTAGATTTAGTATATATATGAAAATTAGAAAAATTATGTTTTTTTAAAAAAATAATATATGTTAATCGAGGCCGGGGCCGGGGCCGGGGATGGGGCGGGGACGGGGATAAGGGGTCTGGGGCGGGGGCGAGTATGGGGGCAAGTATGGGGGTGGTGGTAAAATTTGACTGAAATAATGACTTTGTAAAACTTAGCCACAAGAAATTAAAGTTATCATGAAAAACCGTCATTATAGTTTTATTTTTGTTAATTTAACAAATAAAACATTTGCAAATTTCTTAAAAACTTCTTAGAAAAGAAAAAAATGAAAAATTAAACATGTTTATACAGTTAAAAAATAATAATTAATGTTTTATTATATATAAATTTTTCAAAATTTAAGTTGTAGTTTGCAATAGTGTTTAAATAGAGAAATTGAGAGATTAAAACTAAGTAGAAAAATATTTAAAAGGTAACACTTAATTTTCCTATTGAAAATTGATAGGATTTATTGGTTTTTTAAAAGAAATCTATTTCAACACATATTATTTCCAAATATAAAAACCTATATACTATCAATTATTACCATAGTATAATTATAAAATAAAATAAAAATTGTAGATTAAGTCCTTATCTCCAAGTACAAGAAGGTTGGAAATTGGATAAGATATTAATTATTAAGTAAATAGAAAAACATATGAAATAGAGCCTAAATGATACTCCCTCTGTCCCAAAAAAGATGTCACGTTTTTCCCAAACGCAACATCTTTTTTGGGACAGAGATAGTATATGGCATCCATGAGTCATATCAGCCGGTAAACAATTACATGTATCCCCTTTCAGTCTTTCACCCTTCATTGATTGAACAAAAAAAAAAAAAAAAAAAAAAAGGGAACAAAAGCAAATACGTTGAGTGCTCCTAATGGGTCTAAGCCCATTCAGCTTAGATATACAAATATATAGAGATAGAGTGATTTGGCAGGAATGGTGTGTCAGATTAATAAATTGGGGAATTTTTATCATTTAAGATTACAAATATTTTGTATTAAATTGTGTTAAAAAAATTAGGGGTAAATTGGTCAATTTGCATGTGACGGAGTTCAAAAAGTAATTTGGGGTGTAATTGAAAATTAAAACCAAAATATTCATTTATTTAAGATTTGACCTAACCTTAGGGGGGTGTCGGTGTAATTTCCCTTAAAAAAAAGCCCACACAATACGGTATCTAGAGATCTAATATGCAAAGTTTTAGAAAAGAACAGTCAGAAAGCTGGGTTTCTCTTGGTCTACACCGCTGTCTCATCTAATGATTGATGGTGGATGGAATTTTGAACTTTTGTAGGAGGATCTATTCAGACCTATTAGAGATTATTTGGGTACACTGACTATCCATACTAGAACTGATAGGTTACTATGGGATGGAGGTACTTTTATTTTAAAAAATGCTTGGCAGAGTTGTAAGGCCATAAATATAGAGGTTAATTGGTCTAAAATTTGCTGGGGAAAAGCTAGGCCACGTTGGTCAGTTAATGGAGTCTTTTTGTTTCAAGACAGATTGCCTTCTATGTATAATTTGCAGAGAAGGAAGGTGCAGCTGGCTCCGAGATGTCCTACCTGTTTACAAGGGATTAACACAAGGAATCATTTGTTTGTCCAATTTCCTTTTGCAAGGAATTTCTGGAATTGGTTTGTAGACACACTTGGTTGGAGGATTGATTTCAGTTTAATGAATACAGTGGAAGATTTGATGTTATGGTTTTCATAGTAGAGCAGTAAAATGGTTCATACTATGCTAGTTGCTGGTCTTTGGAGTATTTGGCAAGAGAGAAATCGTAGGCTTCATGATCGCAGCTCTAGATCCACTTTTGAGGTGGCTCGACAAATTTTACTATAAGTTCTAGAAGTTTATAATATGTCTCTTAGGGACATTATTTAGATTGTAATTTTTTTTGCATTTCTTTTCACTTATTGAAATACGTTTACCTTTTTAAGTAAAGTTTTGAGGGTATGCCCTCTGCGCGCTTGTAAATATTATTTTTCTTTATTCATACATAACCAATTATGAAAAAAATATATATATAAAAGAAAAGTGCCACAATGGGATTTTTTTTTTTTATAAGTAATGTTGAAGAGTCGTCCTCACGTGATCCGAAACGGCACCGCTTAGCAAGGATTGACACGGTGTGGTGCATGCCAAAAACCCTTCGATGATGTCAGTGATCAGAGTAATTAAAGCAAATAGATTTTTGGTATTAATTGCTCGTACCTCATTAGTTCATATGAGTACATTTATAGATGGCTAAGGCATTGAATTTGTTGTAACTTCCTAGAAGATTTCTCGGAAACTTGAATTTCAATTTTACTTTATCCTCATACCGTCAAACTTCTTTTGAATTTAAAGATGTTGACTACATTCCAACTTCATTATCTTATCTTATTATGTTGTTGTTGTTGACTATCTATTGAGCTTTTCCCTCTATCAGTTGCCCCTGTTCGCATGTTGTAGCTTGCTCTAGGTTAGGAACGTGAACTAAGAAACTAAGAAACTAAGAAACCTTTACCCGAGCTTTTACTTTCAACACAACTGGAAAATTTAGTATTCCAACTAATGTAGATTTTTTTTTTTTTTTTAATTAAGCTAGGTGGCCCAACCCATTTGGCTCAATCCAGATCGAGTCTTGCTTGGCTCGACCCGAATCGAGCCTACGTGCTCAGCCCAGGACGAGTGGCTCAATCCAAATCAAGCCTACTTGACTCAACCCGGATCGAGACTTGCTTGGCTCAGCCCAGAGCCTACTTGTCTTGATTCGGTAGAGCCTGTTTGGCTCGGTCGAGCCTGTTTGGTTTAACTTGATTGAGCCTATTTAGGCTAGATTCTATGTATTTTGGCTCGAACACATGAAACGGCTATGAGAGGGTCATTAATTCATAATCATTTTGGGATTTTGAGTCCCTACAGGCTTTACATCACCTTTTGATATTGTAGAAAGAGCGAGATGTTGATGGAAGCTCTAAACTCTTCTATATTATTGAACCTTAAATAAAATGTAGCTTATATACAAGTACAAGAATGGGTTATTCATATAATGGCCCCACCAATTATAGGTAATTACATTCTTGGCCCAACATAAATATATAATTATTCTAACACTCCCCTCAAACTGGAGAATATATATCATATAATCCTAATTTGGAGCAAATAGTCTTTAACCAGTTATGACAAAGAGCTTTAGTAAACATATCAGCTAGTTGATTTTCGGACTTCACAAATGGAGCAGAAATGTACCACTTGGTATTTTTTCTCGAATGAAGTGACAATCAACTTCAATATGTTTGGTCCTCTTATGAAACACATGGTTGGATGTAATGTGATGAGTTGTTTAGTTATCACGGAACAACGAAATATGAGTTTTGACTATCAACCCAAGTTCCTCAAGAAAATGTTGTAACCATGGCAACTCACTAGAGGTATGGGTAATGGCCCTGTACTCAGCTTGAGCACTAGAGCATGCTACCACTATTTGCTTTTTACTTTTTCATGTAACAAGATTCCCTCCTACAAAAGTGCAGTAGGTTGTAGTATATTTCGTATCTGAGGGAGAACCAGCTCAGTCAGCTCTGTAAAACCTTCAACCCTGAGATGTCCATTTGATTTATATAGCAACCCAAAACCTGGACCTTGTTTAAGATATTGGATAATCCAAAGAACAGCATTTCAATGTGGCATCCTAGGAGCTCCCATGAACTGACTTACGACACTCACTCCTTATGAAATATCAGGCCTAATGATAGTGAGATAAATTAATTTCCCAATAATGCATCAATATTTGCCAAATCATTAAATAGATCGCCCTCATTAGACAAAAGTTGTATTTGGATCTATAGAAGCATCAACCGGACGACCATTTAACATACTTTTTTCTTCTGATAAATCCAAGACATATTTTCTTTGAGATAAACTTATACCTTTATTGGATCTAACAACTTCAATATCCAAGAAGTATTTGAGTTTACCCAAGCCTTTAGTCTAGAACCGATTTTGCCGAAACAACTTCAACTTACCAATGCCTGTAAAATCATCACATGTAATCACAATATCATTTACATACACCATAACAAAAATGAAACAAGCTTTAATGTGCTGGTGAAATATCGAATGATCTGTCTAGCATTTGTTAAGACCAAATTCTAATGCTGCCTTAGAGAATTTTCTAAACCAAGCCCTTGGAGATTGTTTTAATCTATATAGGGCCTTCTTAAGGCAATAAACACACCCAGGTGATTGCTCCATATAAACTTCTTCAGTCAAGTCACCATGCAAAAAGGCATTTTTAACATCCAATTAAAACAACGGCCATTGACAATTGGTAGCAAGTAAAATAAGGACACGGATAGAGGAAATCTTAGCAACAGGGGAAAAAATCTCATCATAGCCAACACCATAGGTCTGGGTTTACCCTTTTGCTTTGAACTGCTCAATAGAGCCACCATGACGATATTTGATAGTGAAAACCCACTCACAACCAACCGGTTTGGAACCAGGAGGTAAGGGAACAAGATCCCATGTTCAATTACGATGAAGGGCATCCATTTCATTTACCATTGCTTTTCGCCAATCTGGATTAGAAAGAACATCATGCAAAGTCTTGGGAACAAGAGTAGCAGAGACAACTGGGATAAAAAAAATAGGAGAAAGAGGGTGAAACATTATTATATGAGAAAGTTAGAAATAGGTAGTCTAGTAACACAAGATTGAGTACCTTTGCAAAATGCAATAGGAAGATCAGCAACAAAAGGAGAGACCTCGATAAAAGTAGATAATTGGTGGGATGCTTTTTGTGGGCGTCCACTGTACACTTCAAGTGGTTTTGGTGTGATAGACTCATGTGAAGTAGAGACAGGCAATGGAAGCCATAAGTCAATATTTAAAGGTACACCACGTGAAGAGAAGTAGGGAGTGTCCTCAAAAAAGGTCACATATATTCAAACAAAAGAACTACAAGTGCTAGGATCCCAACATTTACATCCCTTTTGAATGCAAGAATAGGTAACAAATACACATTTAATTGCACGAGGAGATAAATTTTCAATGCTAGAATGTAACACATGAGCAAAGCACACACAACCAAAAACATGAGGCAACGCAAATAACAGACGAGCAGGAAAAATAATAAAATAAGTAAATTGCCAGTTAAGAACAGAAGATGACATGCGATTAATTAAATTGCAAGCAGTTAAAACAGCATCTCTCCAAAATGAATTAGGAAGATGCCTATGGATCATTAAAGTTCAAGTTATTTCAATTAAATGCCTTTTCTTTTTCGTTCTGCTATGTCATTTTGTAGAGGAGTATAAGAACAAGAAGTTTGGTGCAAAATACCACGAGAGTCAAAAAATTCAAAAATAACACTTTTAACATATTCCATAGCATTATCAGATTTTAAAGTTCGGATAACACATCCAATTTGGTCCTCAATTTCTTTATAAAATGATTGAAATACATAAACAAGATCAGAATGATCTTTCATTAAAAATAGCAATGTCATCCTTGAATAGTCATCAACAAAAGTACTAAAATAGGAAAAACCTAAGAGATTGGTATGATGAGCAGACCCTATATATCGGTATGCACCAATTCAAAAAGAGAGAAACTCTATGATGCTTGCCCAATTGACACGACTCACATCTAAAGTAGATACAAACTCGAGAAAATGCAGTGCATACTTCAAGTACCTCAAAGAAGGATGACCCAATCGAAAAGGCCACTAGTGGCCAGAGACTCGTGAATGGAGAGCCATACTGTGTTCTCTTCTGTATTGTGTAGGTGCACCAATTCTCATCTCATATGCTGTGAATGAAGCTTAAAGATCATCAATTTTCATTTGAGAGAGGTCTTTGTCTTCAAGAATAATGACCTTAGCATTGAACCTTGAAGTTAAGGTCTTTAGATCTTCTTGTATACTTCAGAGTCTTTTACCTTTTTACCAAGAGCTTTCATGTTTACAATTTCATTGATCCTAAAAAAGTACTCTGAAATAGCTTCCCTTTATTCCATCTTGCAGCCTTTATATTAAACCTTGAGAAGTTGTATCTTATTCTCCTTGATAACATTATTCCCTTCTTGAGCAGTCTTGAGAGAATCCCACATTTCTTTAGCTGTCTTGCAATTCTTGATCCTTTTGAACTCTTGTTGCTTTAGAGCATAAAAGAGATCATGCATTGCTTTTCCATCATTTGCTAGAGCAACTTTATCATCTGCCGAAGGGTTGTTTGGATTGAGAACCATAAAACCATAGATGGTTGCATGTCATACATCATAGGACTGAGACATGAGAAAAGTTTCCATCCTTGTTTTCCATGAATCATAATTGGACCCATCAAAACCAGGTGCTTTGTTTGTAACCTAACCTTAATCTATTGCACAAGATCTTCTGCGGGTTTGTCAAAACCTCAAAAAGGCAGACCAAAGCTCTGATACCAATTGATGAACCAAGAAGGGAGGGTGAATTGGTTCTTGTATAAACTTTTCTTCTTTGTATGATCAATACAATGTGATGAAAATGATGACAGATACAACAAGCTTACACACACTTGTAATTACTTGGTGCATTTACAAGGAAAACTCTCTCAATAGGGAAAAACCTTGGTTCTTGGCCTCAGCTAATAAAATCTCCACTAGTTGTATACAAGTAGTTACACACTCAGCTGTCTAACTCTCTGCACATACCCTTGTACAAGATGAAACACTAGATTTCAAAGCCTCTACACACACACTAGCACCACTAAGTGCACTATGCACTTCCCCTATCCTAAGCAACCCTGTTTGGACCCTGCAAGCTCTCACAGCTCACTAAATACATATTAAAAGATGTATTACAGTAATACTCAAGCTATTACACAAGATAAGAGTGAATAATCAGCTCAAAGTATAAATACAAACACCTTGCCTTCATTCTGCTGAAACTAGGTTTTGAGGGGTAAAATAGGAATTTCATGTCCCACAAACTCAGAGATGAAATCCACAGCCTTGTATCTTCATTACAAACATGCTCAAATGATAATCAAGATGAATAATAGCATGTATACACAATTACAACTCATATACAGGCTCATTTCTGTAGAACCTTTAAGAACTAGGGTTTTATAAGGTCAAAATCTGTATTGACATTTTTCCTATGCAAATCTCAACTTCAACAGCCTTGATTTAGCTACAGAAACTTGCTCAGATGATAATAATGCAACTCATAGCAAGATATAGTGATGATAAGTTTAGATCAACAGGCTAAACCAGTAAAACAAGCTATTTCTCACGCGTGAGACATCAAAATCAAATGTAGCTAAAAGATGGTCAAAAACATACTTTCTGCAGATGTAAAATAATAAGTTACACTTGCCTCAACCTTGTCTCAACACCACAACAAGCTCAAATCAAACTTAGACCTCCAAACCAGCTTCTACATCAGCAAAAATCATAGCAACATGCCTCCGTTTAATCATCTACTCTTGTGAATTCTTTGAGTGTATTTCTGAGCTCAAATCAAGCTTTGATCATTACAAATAATCTCATAAAATGTGTTCATATTCAGTTCTCTTCTCTCTCAATACTGCTTGCCTTAGGGTTTCTTGAAGGTTTGAAACCTAGAAAATGCTATAATAGTAAATATATAGTACACCTTGAGCACAAATCCTATCTTAAAGAGGGAATGTATGTTTCACCATTATCCCATCATTGACCACGGAATAATACGTAATTCCCTTGTGAATGTACCATAATACCCCTGCCACCTTCACAGAAAATATTTTCTAACATGCAAGCTTATTGACAGCCTTGTGTATATATATGTATATATATATGTATATGAATGTATAACAAGCTTAATCACTAAGCAAAGAATTACAGCCTACATATTCTCACACTATGACCACAAGACACGTGTCATAAAAATTCTCAATAATTTGCTTTGACCAAATGCCCTTGTAGTAACACTTGTCAATATACATTGCCTTCTGCAACTGAGATTGTGATCAGTCAATCAACCTGAGAATATAAGCAATTCAATACAATGTACCATCATACACAAATGTATTATGATATAATACATGTGTGAAAAGACCTAATTGCCCCTGAAATACTCTATAGCCAAATATCAAGAACTATACTAGGGTTTTTAACCCTGAAAGGCCTACAGAGAGAGTCTTCAAGACAATGTACCTTCTTTAGATCATTTGAATAATTTACTTAACATTGTGGAATAACCAAGCTACCCCTGTGGATCAATTATATGCATAGTTCATGCCAGAATCACTTAGAACTCAATGTAGAGAACCTGTGACAAACTTTTTGGCATTTAAAAGGGCAAACCCTAATTCAAATGTGGGACCAACAGTTATCTTTTTTCTTTTTTTTTTAAGGAAAAAAAAAAAGCCAATAGGATCGATCCTAGTAATCGTAAGTCCTCCGGTGATTCAATGCACATTCCAAGTGTAGGCGATCAATCTTAACTTTCTTAGGATCGATCTCATACGCCGTTACGATCGATCATCCATTCCTAGGATCGATCATAACCTATCTAGTGATATTAATGGCATCATACGTCGTTACGATCGATCGTCCATCCTTAGGATCGATTGTAAACGGCATAGTTGGATTTATTACATGACTTGTGTCTTCTTGTTCTCTATACTTGTGCATGTAATGATTATTTTCTTACCCCAACAGGGGGACTTGTTACTCATACATGATATTGCCGATTGAATTCTGACGCAGCGGATCAATGACAGCAAGCAAAATAATTAAGAACAGCAACGTATTCTTTAAACACTCGAATCCACGAGGAGATTGAGAAAAGCTCTCAGTTTTCTGATATTAATAAAAGAGATAATTGATCCCTAAACTATAACTATAGCATGTATTTTTAGGCCTAAGCAAACCCTAAACTATATAGGAAATTAAATCAATGGAAACTTTCTTAAAACAAACACAAAACTATTTAGAAAATTAAAACAATGAAAACTTTCCTAAAACAAAACTAAACTATTAGAAAATTAAAACAATGGAAACTTTCCTAAAATATAAAATAGAAACTAGAAAACACTGTTCCCGAGCACTGTTCATGCAGTCTTCATGCACGTTCATTCATGTACTACATCAAGCTCCCCTTCTTTAAAAAAAAACATGTCCTCTAGTTTTGGATCATATATGAATATGAAAAAAAATTCTATACCACTGACGACTTGTTCTTAATTCTTCGTAAACTTGCTTTAGAATTTTTACCCATTTGTTCTCTCTTTCCTTCTACTTTAACCGATGCTCAGTGTGCACCTTTGAAGTCAAACCACCAAATTCAAAGCTATCAAACTTGCATTCATCCAACCAAGCTTTTGGTGTTTTCCTTAGTCCAAACTTATAAAGGTGTGAATCCCACACCTAATCATAGCATGGAAGGAATGGGTATCACTTTCACCAAACATGCTCAAAGAGTATTGCTCCGAACTGTTCTCGAGGACTAGTTGAAATCCATTAAAATCAAGTCCAAAAATATAGTCACCTTTAAAAGAGGCATCAGTTGACTCCCACAACCATAGATGACCACTAATTCTGATTACTAGATTCTTACCAAGCCTCATTCTTGGCAACCAAGTGTCACTTGGGTAATCATTACTTTGCCACCCGAAATTCTCATGAGTTGGATTATAATTTGAATCTTTGACAACAATATTATCCAAATCCAAAGGTTGTGCAACTGCGTTTACTGTGTTGTTATTTACTTCCCATGATGATTCTTCACCATCTTCGTACACGCACTCTTTTGTCAAGTCTTCGACATGGAATTCAAATTTTTCATTAACCCAATTATCAACTAATTCATGTTGTTCGCTCT